GGAAAAGGTTGAACACCACCTTGCCCGTAGAACTCACAACCGACATGCTTTAGTACACTCATTCCTTTAATGTAAAGCTTTTTGAGGGAGGGTAGTTGTCCGAGTGGTGGCAAGGATGCACAATTTCCACAATTTTCTAAACTTAGGTAAGCCATATTGGAGAACAGAGGATCTCCTATCCAAGTCGGAAATCCTGTACCAAGGTAGCCTTTGATATGGAGCTCTTTTAAATTCTTGTGAGGTTGTAGCATGTCAAGCACTTCTGTTTCAACTCTTCCATCTCGTGAATCATCTGAGTTAACACTCCATTCCATTGATAACACATCTAACCCCTTCTTAACATTTAAATTCGCCTCCCTTGCATCTAATGGAACCACCACGTTCTGTAACCCAGATAGGCAAAGCGTCCCCTGAAGATAAATTAAGTTTCCCAACTCTCTTATCCCAAGCCCATTGTTTTTAGTAACAATAAAATTGGACAATGTATGAAGATTAACCAACTTACCTATTCCCTGTGGCATTTCTTCTAAGGAATGTGCATTTGTAATATCAAGATGACGTAGATCAATTAGGTTTCCCAAGTCTGTTGGCAACTTTTTCAGTTTTCCACATTCTCTTAACATCAATGTTTGTAGATTGTAGAGAGAGCCTAGTGATTTAGGTAATTCTTCAATGGAGGTGTGGGATAGGTTAAGATACCGCAGATGTTTCAAATCTCCAACAGAATTTGGAACTTCTGTGATGCAATATCTACTCATATTGAGCACCCTCAAGCGTTTTAGCTTCGGCAATAGATTACGGGGAACATTGCTTGCCAAATAAAAATCTGCATCAGATTCTAAGAAAAATGGTAAGAAGGTTCGTAAATGCGTGGCTTTGTCAAAGATCTCAAATTTTTTCATACCCTCATGGTACTCCTGCATGTAAGATGAATGTCGAGCTTTCTTTATATTTTTGCACTGCTCTTGATATTTCAATCTATCCTCTAATCTAAAACAAGTATCTCTTGCAACTACTTGAGCCAAATCATTGATGAGGTCGTGCATCACAAATTTAGAGCTTTTATTGGTACTTGATGGCTGGAAAAAAGACCTTGACAACAATTCTCGAAAGTACTTACCTCCTATATCTTCCATTTGTTTCTCTTTTTTTGGCGGAATGAAACCCTCTGCCATCCATAACAATACTATCTCCTCTTCCTCAAATTCATAGTCCTTGGGTATTATTGAGCAGTATGCAAAACACTGCTTCAAATGTGAAGGGAGATGATGATAACTTAATCTTAAAGCTAGAAGAATGTCACTGTCTTCGTGTGATAAATCCCATATTTTATTACACAATACATCTACCCATTCCTCATCTCGTTCTTTGCCAAGTAAAAGGCCACCGAGTGTCTTAGCAGCCAGAGGCAAACCTTTGCATTTCTTCACAATTTCCTTACCTATTGATACCAAATTTGGATTTGCATCAATACTTCTATGCTCGAAGGCATGTTGTGCAAACAACAACCAACAATCTTCCTTTGATAGGACCTCAATGTCATGAAGTTCAACAGCTCCCATAGTTCTTGCAACATCTCTGTTACGTGTAGTCACCACAACTTTACTCCCTTGGGCTCCATCACTGAAAGGTTTTTTCAAAACATTCCAGTCACTGTATTTTTTGTTCCAGACATCGTCTAAAACAATTAAGAACTTCCTTCCAGCCAAAGCCTTCTGCAGTTGAACTTGAACTTGATCCAAGCCATTAAAATTACATGTCTGGGCAGTCACTGACTCGAGAATTAATTTTGTTATTCTCATAATGTTGAACTCATCTGACACACAGACCCAGGCTTTCAAATCGAAATGCTTCTTCACGGTTTCATCATTGTATACCATCTGAGCCAGGGTGGTCTTGCCAATCCCACCCATACCCACTATGGGAATTATGCCAACGTTGCTATGATTTGATACATCCCCCTTTACGAGCAACTCAATTATCCTACTCTGATCGTGTTCTCGGCCGTAAACACCGCAAACACGAGGATCATCAATTATAGATGTAGAGTCTGGTCTTTGCCAAGTCTTAGTAGGTGTGGGGGGTCCAACAATCTTAACCAAATTAAGTTTCAAACATTGTTGAAAACTATTGTGCAATCTAGTATTGATCTCCTCAATCTTGGACTTCATTTTGAAATTAAACATAACATCTCTTGGCTTGAAATGAGGGATGAGGTTCCATACCTTGCTCGAACTAGCTTGGGGCGGCTTTGCCTTTAGCTTGTGTTGCAAAGCTTCGGTGGCGAACTCATCCACTAAATCATCCAAATCATATGCTAGATCCTCGAGATCGTCGAGCCACAGGTTCACGGCTAGATGTTGCATTTGCTTCTCCTCCGCGTCAATCAGAAGAGCTTGAATTTGAGACAGCATATTGGTCCAATTGGTGAGCTGGGTATCAACACCTTCAAAGGAGGGTAATTTGGAGGAGGCAAAAGAGGACATCTTCTCAAACAGCAATTTGACTGAGGCAGAGAGAAAGATCTCTGCTACAGGCATTGTTTCCGATTACAGGAGGAAAAAAACCAACAGATCAGAAGCAAAAGCAAAGCAAAGCGAAGCAAAAGCAAAACAAAGCAAAGATGGAGGTTGCTGACTTTTCTTGAGTGAAAAAAAAGCTCTAGCAGTCTCAAAAATATTTTTTAAGTGCTGAGATAAGTCAAAAATGGCGTCTTCTTTCATTGGCTCCAGGTCCCGTTGCGAAAACGACATGTATATTAAAAAAATAAAAGAACCCAAGTTGGTAGAACCCAATTATTTTTTAAAATATTTTCAAATGAATTTATATCTCTATCTATCATGGTTTTTCTCAGTTGGTAGAGGTCGGCTTAGCAGTTTTCCAATCTTTACCCGACAATATAGTTTTGGGTTTTGGTTCATACATTTATTTTTTTTTTTAGTTGAAATGTGATTTTTTCGTTATTATTATTGAATTTAAAATGAAAAAAATACTATAAGTAAAATAAAAAAGAAATTAAAGTGTAATTTAAAATTAATTATAAAGATCACCGGAATAATATATTCACTATATCAAACAGTTTAGATTATCAGAATAAAACTTATAGAGAATTTCATGAGTCCGAACAATACTCTTTAATACAAATCTAGGACTAAATTTTTTTATTTTTTTTATTTTTGTGAAGATTTGCCTAACAATCATAAAAAAAAAAAAAAAAAAAATTCACCATTTTTTTGGGTTTTTTTGGGCCTTGATATGATTTTGTTGTTTGTTTTATTTTCTTATGTTTGGTTGCAAGTTGATAGCTTGCCAACTGGTGGCCTTGTTGGATCTTCCCTGGAATCAAGAGAGGGAAAGTGGTAATGTTTATTGGGTAAATTAAATTGAGAGTTTTTGTATATCATTTTGATTCTCACATTTTTAATTGATTTAATATTGATTTTAATTTTAAATTTTGTATTAATTTGATTCAACTAATAATGTCAATTAGTGTTTTTGAAGTAAAATCATTAATGAGATGATTGAGATTGACTCACTTAGTTAAGAAAATTTATAATTTTGTTCTTAAAAGCGTAACTCATGCTACTTATGTGTGCACTTTTCATAATTTTTTTTTAAAAAAAAAAACATGAACTTAAAGATTGCAATTAATTAGGTTAAATTGAAAAATAAAAAAATTTAAATTGAAATTGAATTAATTAAAATTACAAAGATCAAAATGACACTAAAACAAAACTATAAAAATTAGTGGTTAAAATTTGCACTTGTTTATTTTATTATTGTAATATGTGATGAGTAATGGTGTTTGTTTGGTGTTCATGAGGCTTTTCTCATATCACACACAAGCATCATGCCAATTACTCATTTTTGTGAATAAAATGTTTCTCCCTCCCTCTTTCTCTATGGAATTTTTGTAGATGAGTTTCGTATTAATCTTTGCGGAAAAAACTGTCAAAATTCACAAAATTTTTATCAAATGATTTTGTATTTTCAAAATAAGAAAGTGTGAATGTTTACACATTTTTTTATTGAAAGAATCTTTTAATTTCACTATAAAAAAAGATTGTTCCCAAAAGTAATTATCAAAAACAGTTTATTAAACAAAATTTTCATATCAAGTTCTAATTTTCTTTTCTTTTCTTTTTTTTACCAAACAAAAATGCTAAAAAGGTCTAATTATTTAACAGGGTCTTTAATCAGGAACAAATTCAAAATTCAAACTTTAGGGGATAAAAATACAAATACCTTTTCATCGAAAACAAGTACTGTAAAATTTAAAATTTTAATTTATGCCAACACAAAAATATAATCAGACATTTTTTTATTTTTATTTTTACATTAACTTAACATAAATCTTAACTATTATTATATCTACTCTCGCTCTATTAAAGTTAATTATATGAAAATATAGATTTTTTTCCGAACTTGAGAATTTGCCCGTGAAATGTAGAGATGATTGAGAAATTGCAAAGAAAGGTTATGAGCCACATATAAAATAGATACCATTGCTATGATTCTAGGAGAGAGACTTGCTTAATGCTTTTTTTTCATTACTTTTTTTTTTTATTTATTGGTAATTGTTTTGTCATTACTCTCCTTATATTAAAGTTAATTATCTGAAAATATAATTTATTTATTTTTCAAACTTGAGAATTTGCTAGTGAAATATAAAGAAAATGACTGAGAAACTACAAAGAAAGGTTATGGGCCACAAATAAAGGGTTTGTCTTCCCTCCAGTCTCAGATCAGACTGGAGGGTACTGTTAGGCTTTGGGGGCCACCACGGGTCTCATTTCAATAATTCGAACCGTTCAATGTGTAGAACTTGTTGAGTACAATATTTTTGTAAAAAATCACGTTGATCAGATATCGATAACTATGTGATCAAATCAATTTTGTATAAAATAAAATGGATGGTGAAAAAATAAACGGTTGACAAAAATTTGATCTGATGAAATAACTATCGATATCCGATCAACGTGATTTTTTATAACACATATAACACTTGACGACTTCTACATATTGAACGATTCAGATTATCGAAATGGGACCTGTAGTGGGCCCTCATGGGTCTAACAGTACCCTCCAGTCCGATCTGGGACTTGAGGAAAGCCAGTCCCACAAATAAAATTGACACCCTTGCTATGATTTTTAGGAGAGAGACTAGCTTAATGCATTTTTTACTATTTTTTATTTGTTTATTACTAATTACTTTATCACTACTTTCTTCTTCCCGTGTGAGACTCACCATTATAATTCACTATCACCTTATTTTGACACTCCATATTGATGTTATGTTTGTGAACATCAAAAAGCATAAGAAAAAACGGTTAATTACGAAAATAACCTTAGATTTTACACGTTTTTCATTTTAAATTTTAATATTTCAATTTTGACAAATTAAATTCTAGAGTTCTATCCGTATTTCAATGTGCCTCTTCTGTCCATCTTCGTCTGTGTAAGGTAACGTAGAATTGTTTTGAAATTTAAAGTGAAAATACTGAGATTTAAAGTAAAAAATAAGAGAAATGTTGGAGTTTTTTTTATGATTAACCCTAATATTTATTTATATATATATATAACACTTACATATCTTATTGTATATGTATATGCGTGCTTGTATATATGATGATATTTTTTTTATTTAAATTTTGACTCTTCTAATGATACTCTCTTTGTCCCATTTTATTGGTGTGAAATATCGTATTTTTTAGATGTTAAATATTTTAATAAGAAGTATTTATGATTTATTATAATAAATTGGTGGTGAAATTTTTAGATGAAAATTTTAGGGGCAATTTTTCATAAATCATTTTTTACCTACTTTTGTTCCATTTAGTTCACATTATTTTCTTATATTCCAATAAGTCCTATAAATGACATAATTATTAAAATACCCCTAATAATATTCACATTTACAATGTGAATGTTTACACCGTTAATGTGAATGCTCACATCGTCAATGTGAATGTTAATAAGTCAATGTGAACATTCATACGACAATATGAATATTCACATTGTAAGATATAAATGTTCACATCACCAAATTGCTAACTGTTCAAAAAATATTTGTAAAAGTAGAAATGTCCATAAAATTTTTTAAATATAAGAATTAAGATTTAGTAGATCAAATATTTAAATAATAGAATTTATTAAAATACAACAATATCTTATGAACTAATTGAAATATAAATACTTGAAAAAAGATTGTCTAATAAATTTTTCAAAATTTTATCGCTTTTATATTCATTTTTTTAATTATTATTTTCCATCCTTCTTTCGGTATCAAGAAAAGGAAATATATATATGTATATATATGTATATATTTCTTGCCACCAAACGTGGCCGACAGCACATGGCTGCCAGCCTCCTTGACCACTCCCTGCTTTTCAATTATTTTTCCTTTATTTATTTATTTTGTCTTCTTAAAATACCCCTAATAATATTCACATTTACAATGTGAATGTTTACACCGTTAATGTGAATGTTCACATCGTCAATGCGAATGTTAATAAGTCAATGTGAACATTCATACGGCAATATGAATGTTCACATTGTAAGATATAATGTTCACATCACCAAATTGCTAACTGTTCAAAAAATATTTATAAAAGTAGAAATATCCATAAAATTTTTTAAATATGAGAATTAAGATTTAGTAGATCAAATATTTAAATAATAGAATTTATTAAAATACAACAATATCTTATGAACTAATTGAAATATAAATACTTGAAAAAAGATTGTCTAATAAATTTTTCAAAATTTTATCGCTTTTATATTCATTTTTTTAATTATTATTTCCCATCCTTCTTTCGGTATCAAGAAAAGGAAATATATATATATATATATGTATATATTTCTTGCCACCAAACGTGGCCGACAGCACATGGCTGCCAGCCTCCTTGACCACTCTCTGCTTTTCAATTATTTTTCCTTTATTTATTTATTTTGTCTTCTCCCCCAGACAAACCCATGTGCTCACACATCACCATCTTTCACATTTCCTTTCCTTTCCTTGTTCTTTGCTTCTATTCTTTTTCTTTTGTTTTCAATTTTTTTAGGACATCCTTTTTATTTATTTATTTTAGTTCTTGTTGGCTTTTTGATTTTCGAAGGTTATTTTTATAATTGTGAGCGTGTCAATAAGAATTAATTAGTCTTTATAAAAAATTAATTGTCAACCAATTATCAGACGATTACGTTTTAATTCTTTTAGCCTCAATGAAGATGACTTTTACTGGTGACTTGATTTAGGAGAATTAAGCAAGATAACAATTAAATGAAGCACAATTGAAGCATTTCATTAAAATGAAAAACTTACAATGGTCCAAACTCAACCTCGTAGAGGGTTACAGCAACAATCTATTACTTGAAACTACTCCTATGAACAAAATGCAGTGCAGGAATGTAAAGAACAGTAAATATAAGACTGGAAATGTAAAACTGGAAAGAAAAATAAGTAGAATAAGACTGATTTTTTGGATCTAAGTCTAGGGACTTTTTCTGGGGCCTTCTCTGCTATTTATACTGCTCAAGGATGACCATCGAACTGCATTTCCAACCGTCGAACTGCTCCTCCATGATCGCTAATCATGTTGCCCCAGGATTTAGCTCCACTACGCCATTACTTGCAGTTAGGCTTCCCTCATAAATTTGAATTTGAATGTGAGTAACCGTTGAAGCCACACCACCTTGCATCTCTTTGTTGATCCACTACTACTCA